CCCCCCCCGCGGGATACGGAAACACGTGTAATTTCATTGCTCTCTAGGAAAGTTGAATCGATAGAGAAAGACAGAAACGGCTAGAAAAGAAAACAGACAGTTAAATAGACGGCGGTTAAGAGGGTGCGGAGAGAGTGGGATGGATATATATATACAGGTATAGAGATAAGGGAGACGTAGGAAAAATCGAAAGGAAGGAAGGAGAATAGGGAAGTAAAAGGGAAAAGAGAGAAAAAGAGTACAATACCGTAGGTACGGTTGTTCTGTTTCCTCTCTCCGATAATAGTGACCTATAAAAGCATTTTTGCCTCAGTCTCCCCCATTTTCTACTTCCCCACGCCAACTGCGCCTTCGGCGTTCCCTTACCGTAGCCTCCATCCCCCGTACGGTACGGCTACAGTAGAGCCCGTTAGGAACGTACGGGAACCAATAGCCAACCGTGGCTTATAATGTTTTACTAATCGGACGGGTTTTAGTCGGATAATTCGGTGCGACTATAAAGGTCACTCCAAATGGTGTCAGCATTAGGTACAGTCGGTCGCGGAGAACGTAACGCCGATCGATGATGATTAAACTGTGATAATAAAATGATAATAAAATTGTGATAACAAGGTTCGACAGTTTTTTCGCGACGGGTATAGGTACGACCTTGTACATATAAGGACGCACCCCTAAATGAATTAAGTAGACGACTAGGAAACAAAGGATAGGCAGGCGAATGACTGGGATTTCTGGGTGCGACCTCTGAACTCATCCTACGGTAAAGTCCAAGCCCCGACTTTGGCGTTCCCGAACGCTGAAGTGTAATCTTCCGTCTAGGCAATACCGAAAGAGGCCTTTAATCAGACTTCGAGAAAATAATTTTGCCGACTTACCCCGCATGAAGGAACATGTAGAAGGCGAACCTCCACAGCTCGAGACGTTTGTCGGGTCGGTAGATGAAGACGCTGTCGATGGGAACTGGACCCGAAGGATTTACCTCGCCCATCGCCACTGTGTAGTACGTGAAGAAACCCAACTGAAAATTTAAACGGAAAAATCCATTAATTTACACGTGCCAAAACGAACCTGCAAGTACTTCCAGTACCGATGTGTACCCGGGTTGAGCCCGAAAGTACCGGCTGGACATGGCTTGGCTGGGGCCCAATGAGCGCGCCAACCCGGTACTGGGCTTGGGCCGAACGACCCGGTAACGGTAATTCGAATGACAGACGATAAGGAATGACGTAACCGTTAGACGTACATAGCTATAAACTTAGAGTATAGAACAAAGTGACGTCGCGACGCTCGGCGTCTTCGCACGTTGAATATTCTTTAAATTCGAATCTCTAAACTCCCTGTCTCTGGGCTTCGCGTGTCGAATCGACCTCTCCATTCTGCCGCATGTATGGCAAGAGGATGAAGAACCACCCTCATCTTTTTCCCAGTGGCCAAGCCCTGCTCCCGACCATCCGAATGCCACCCTTAATCGCTCTCGTCCATTGCGACTCACCCAATCGAAAGATAATAATGATTCCTCGTGAGATATCATCGGAGCAAGAAATCAGAGAGCAGGTCGTGCGTGCGGATCAAACGAGCTCCGCTCGAGACTCCCTCAAGAACTCACAACCCCTGTGGTATCTTTCTGAAACCTCATTGCCGATCTCTATGAAGCATCGCCGCACCCGGAAATACCTCCCCACGCGATAATCAGTACAATCATAATAATACGTCAGAACCTAACGACCACACACGGGTATCGAGTCCGTTGCCGGCGGGAACCAACCGCAGAGCGGCGGTAGCTCGAAACCAATATATAAATCAGTGGTCGCAATATTGTCGACGCCTACGACACAATATTCGGTCGCGTTCGTGTGAACATGAGATATAACACGTTACCCGGTGCGTGAGAGTCATAGGGAGCGCGCACGTGGACGTCGCGTTACGAGCAGCCAAGTACCTTGTTTTCCAGTTATGTTTGTCATTTCGCCATTTAATTAACAAATTCCAACCCTATCGCTGACGCCAGCGTCGCGCGAGCGGTTTTACCGGCGTCGACGCTTTAAACCCTCAGGAATTAGAACGTCGACGTACCTATTATACATTCGCGCTAGGCAGGCTACGAATACCAGCCGGAAACTGGTACCTATGTAAACGTATGTATATGTAACTGTAGCCAAAGTACAAAATACGATAACAATGATCATCCCCAGGAATGCTCCTGGATATTAAAGAATCGCGCGTTCCTAAACCATATAATATCCGTCCCCATCGTCTCCTTTTTCTTACCCTCGATAGGACCGGTACGAAAACCCTAATGGCTGCCATAAAAGAACCCAGGCAGCCCAAGCTGCTATTACAGGCGATTAATATCGATCGCGGGAGTTAGAGAAGTGACCGGAAGTCACCTGCAGACATTGTCAGGACCTTCCGTAAATATGCGAAAATGTGGCCAACACCGTCGATATACGAGCGATTTTAATCTTCGTCCATGTCGAAATACGTCGCGATGTATTTATAACGTTGAAAATCGCGAGGAAGCCAAACCGGTGGAGCTTTTGTGAAAGCGCACGGATCATAGGCTGTTGGGTAGAGAAGGTATACACATCGGTACGGATTTGGCGTTGCTGGAAAGCTATACGTGTCAGAGAAATGCAAATGGGTAGACATCGGGTATGCAAGCTCAAAATATTTGTCTCGAGTCAAAGATGCGAATACGGGACTGTCTGATGTAGAGGAACGAAAGGAAGGAACGAAAAAAGATGCATAATAGAAAATTCCTAGTCCTCTACCAGGTACGTCGACGTACCTCGTCGTCCTCAACGTCGATAAGACGCTTGAACGTCGAAGGAAGGAAAAGCTAGCTCGGAGTGGTACAGGAATTCTTGGATGCACATATACCCAGCAGCCACCTTTCGGGCTCCCGGGTCCATAGGATCCATTCGGATAAGCCAAGATGCCCAGGGGCGAAGGGAAGATGGCTGAGGTTGCACGTTCGCCAGGATACGTGGGGAACGTGGATGTCGTCCTGTTTCCCCATCCTTTGAATTATGTAAGAAATATGCGAGAACTGTAATTGCGGCATTACCCGTAGAAAGCTCAGGTACGTAGGAGAACACTTGAATATCAGAGACTTGCTTGGGAAATACTCGAGGCGGCCCCCGCTCCTCATCGTGAGCTTGCTGGTAGACCCGGCAGAACGCGTGAGGTTACGCCTGTGTTTCTCACGAAGACTCAGGTGCGCCACTGCAGCCACTACAAACTTGCTTTCCACTTAAACTTCAATTTCACCCTTATTTTCCACCTTTTGAATTTTTCCACCTCTTCGCGCTTTCTGACCCCCATCCGCCCTCGTAGGAAAGTCCTACCTCGACAAAAGAATTTGGTCGGAGACCCACGAGGACGCAGCAGGAGTCCGTAGGCGACCGCTGACGTTTCCAGCTGGGGTAGAAAAGCTTCGGCGCGTTTTCACTGGTATAAAATGTACCCGCGGGGAGTTGGGTCGCGTCCCACGAGTCGGAGGAAGAGAGGACATAGCCCCTACTGGGTGAAAGAGAGGGCGCGAACGATGTAGGAAAGCGTCAGCCAATCCCAAAGGTGTCGCTTGGCCTCGGGGGGCACTGAGTGGGCTACAGAGCGAAGTGAGCTTTTCGCGGTGAGCCGAAAGAGTGAAAAAGAGAGGGCGGGTCGGAGCGAGTGAGGATTATTACGAGAGGTTAGGTTGGATAAGGAGGAGACGATTTTTCGCGCATATACCCGATGCGCACTTATTCCATTCACAGGACCGAGGCAAGCAACGATCCCTTTTACGCGGTCTCGGCTTAATCCGAATTTATGAACACTCCCGGCACGACGGCTTTCACAGAGAGCGGGCCAGGCCTGGTTGTTAGGTTGGTACGTGTGGCGGGGTAGGAACGGGATGGTCGTACGCACAAAGCCAGGGAATGCGGTAGATTGTGACTGGAGGGTTGTGCTGGAAGAGGTGGAGAAATAAGGGTGGCGGGCAGGGGTAGCTACGAGTGCATGGGGGTTCCATGAAAAAAAATTTCGTCGCGAAAAATATGACAAATGAAAGGGGACTCTTAAGCGATGTTCCATGTATTTACCTCTTGGCCCTTCGCGCTTCTCGTCGAACCTCTTGCGGAGGCAGCCATCGGCGACGCCCGAACGACGCCAATGGGATCCTCCTTTCTAATATGCAAAAGCTTCCTAATACTCACAATGCGATTTTAGAAGAGGCTTTCATCCCCTGCTCAGCCCTGTGTCCTTTGGACCTTGTGGGTCCCTGGTTCATACCTATTCTACCTTAGACCCAAGAATACCTAATGTCCACGACGTCGACGTCCCATATTCGGATACACGCAGTCGGATCTTCCTCCTTGGTACAGACCAAGAAAACTTCTTCGCAGCGCAAGCTCGTGCTTCTAAGACCCGTAAGCTGTCTGCCTAGAGACCACGGGGCGCATACGTTCGATTATTCACAACGATAACTCGGGGAATCCCCGGGGGCGTGAGAGATTGGAAGGATGCGACGCCAATGTCGGTGAATAGAAGGCAATGGAAGCATCGGGTACCGTAGATGGAGTACAACGGCATAGTCACGTGGGTGCATAGGGAGAGACAAGCAAAAACGAGAAACAGAGATAAACAGTAAGTCAATCGGCGTAAGGAGTAGCGGGAAATTCAAATACGAACCAAATTTTTTTTCTTTTTCCGATATTAACGTAATCTCAAAAATCCTCCCTCGTTATGTTCTCTCGCCATAAACCTGGATCCACAGGCAAGCTCATCGGCCATCGGGGCTTTACTGCTTCAATTACTCTCGTCCGAGTTCGTTGCCCTTACATAGGGTGGAACGAACGCAGTCCTTTCTTTTATCATCCCTTTCTTGCTCGCTTTCTTTCTTTCCACCCTTCCATCGCCGTTTCACGTAATTGAACTACCCCCTATCGTACTCGCCGCACGAGCGTGTAACATAATTTCAAGCGGCCGCCCATCCACTCAGCCCTTATTTCGAATACCTACCCTATATATATATATAAACGTATACACACCCTGTATAGGACGCGGCTTAACTGGCAGAACGGCAAGGGAGGCCGGGGGGGGGGTCTTCAGGCTATCTTGTGACCTTTAATCCATCACTTGGCGGTACCCCGTCCTCCGGACAAAGAAGCCCTTTTCACGCTTCTGAACCCCTTATGATCATTCTTAGCTTGGGGTGCTTTTTTGTGATATTCATACGGCTGATGGACGTGATTTTCCGAGTGCCGCCAACCCTTGAAAGGGTATCCAAGGCCGAGAAAGTGACACGAGCCCGAGGATGTGAAAACGGTGTAAAATTCTCCACCAGGCTCTTGAAGGGAAAAAAAAAAATGTCACCCCCTCAACAGACACCAAAGAGACGACGCCGCTCATCAGAAAATACAAGTCGCCCGCAAACTGCCCCCCCGAAAATTTATTAATAAAGAGAAAACTCCGAGAAAAGTTCGTTAAGGTCTCGGCCCCTCGCGAATCAAGCCCTGAAAAATTTTTTTTTCTATTATACACAAAAACCTTCCTGGTACCATATACACGATAGCCCCGGTGTACATAAGCATAGTCAAGGATACCAAGAAGAAAAGCTATCGCGAGTGCAAAGTAATATTGTTAGCTATGCAAATTATACCATTCAAAGAGCTAATGAACTTCCGGGAGTTTGCGAGTTTAAAAAACTTTTATCTCCTACCGGCACGAGAGGAGGGCGGTACACGAAGGGGCGTCGCGACGCGTACGGCCCAACTGCCCGGTAGTCGGCCCGAACTTCTCCGTCTCGTATTCATGTCTACCGAAGTTCCGAGGAGCCAAATAGAGAACGCAGAGACCAGAAGGGGTGCATCTATATATCCCAGAGTTTCGATCCCCCCGGCGTACAAGGGTTGTCGTTATACCAGCCAATAGCAACCTGGTCCCATCATCCATCCCAAAGCTCCGATTTACAAAGAGCGTTCTCGGGCCAGATACGCAAGTGTTTCCAGACTAAGAAGATCCAGCCGGCCGAGC